TGTTCATGAACCAGGGAAGAAGCATGCAACGTTCTTGATATGTGCATCTAATGCAAACCATCAAACAACTTTCCTGTTATGTTGAAGAAGTGTCTCTTGTCAGTACACATCACCACTGATATATTGCCCAGGCCTATATAGGCAACACTGATGTCCAAATTTGCGACTTTTTTCTAGTTGTCATCGACTGTGTTGTACTTAAACAAGCTACAAGGGTGATGTAGTGTCACTCTTTCACTTTCTACCACATGTTTTACCCTCAACAAGATTTGGCACCGATTTATTGTGACTGGGTCCTCTGTAGTACTGATGTAATACAATTGTTACCCTTAAAAGTTTCTTCAAGTTATATATGCACCTGATTTCTAGAACAAATCTTGCCTTTCTTGTTATGTTTTCCAGATGTGCCTCAGCAGGAGATGACGGCCTTATTTTGGTGTGGAACGTTGAGGTAATATGTTGCAACATTATTTGTGTGTAATAGTGAAATTTCACACAACACAGTGGGGCTAAATGCATTTTATTTTGTGTGTTTGTTTGTGTGTGTGTATGTGTGACTGGTAGACTGGTGAGAGGCTGCAGGAGCTGAGGGGCCATTCCCAGCAAATAACAGCCATAACCACCTTCACCTGTAACAATGAAGTCACATCGCACACCTCGCTCATCACCGCCTCCTCAGACCGAAGCCTCAGTGTATCCTCAAGCAGTGCCAAACGCACAACAGATGCATACACACGCACACACACAAACACCATACCATCCATATGTACTGTAATTGTTGTATTTGTAATTTCCTTAGTTGTATTTGTCAGCTGTGGGACCCTGACACAGGCAACAGGGTTCAGACCATTTCAGATCTTCAGTCTTCTGTAAAGGTAACTGAGCCTCTTTGAAACCTCTTTCCAACATGCTTGAAAAATGCCAGTATTACAGTGTTAATGAGACACTGCTTGAGTCATATCGCTGTGCACATAGATACCAAGTAGAGTTGTGAAATGTCAGAAATGTGTGTTAAAACACCTCCCGAGCAGCTTATATTATTATTTTTTCATAGTATTGGTGTAAAAACTATGTATGCAAGAAATTGGCTCAACAACACTTTTCAATAACCTGAGCAATGAATGTGCTTGCTGAATCCAAATGTAAAAGGTGCTGTACTCTGTGCATCAACACTTAAAAGCTTTAAAAAAGATGAAATTCGAGTTTGTTAGAGTCTCTCCACTACCTGCTGCTGATACGTTGTCAGCTGGCAGAGAATCAGTGTGACACCAACCTGTTTGCTCATATTGCTCCTTTCTCAACATCACTCATCATCTCAGAGCAAGCCAGATAAAGCTCACTGCAATTCACAAATCATGTAAAATTACAAAAGCTAAATTGCAAATATCTGCAGTATTTTGTACTATTCTGAACAGAAGCAGAAACATTATTAGTAGCCAGACTTAAAGCTGGAGTAGGCAGTCATTTTCAGTGTGTAATCAAAGCGGTTTGGGAGGAAACTAGATGTCTGCATTTCTCTTGACTCTGTTTCCAGGCTTTAGAAGAACTCTAATGGCCAATCACGGGGCTTTTCAGACAGATCAGGCGAGGTCGTATCAAGAGCGAGACAGAGAGCAGGACGTTGTGGCTGAATGGGTTAAAAAAAAGAACGTTCTCTTTAGAGCTGCTGCCAGTATTCAACATGATCAAAGACGTTGTTGCTGAAAATGCATCAGCATCAATATTTTAATCAGACGCATGCTTTTATTTATTTTTTCCTCAAAAGTGTCAATTCATTGTAGAAAATGCTTTTCTTTCATTTCACCATTAGTTGTTTTTGACTCTAGTCATTGGTCAGCTGTTCTCTTAGATAAGACTGGCGACACCAAGTATGGTTCAGTTCAGTGTAATAACTTCTGAAGACCTGTGGCTTCAGAATTATGGCAGTGCTTCAAATGATATCTAAAAAAAAACAATACTTTGTACACTGTGCATTGTTTCAATGGCAGACCACACCTGCACAAGTCTTATGCATCAACACGTGAAGAGAAAACACACAGGCCCTTTACATCTGTTTGCTTCTCTGTCTCTCTTTTAATATAGCCAGATTGCCAAAAAATCTGTTCTCATTTCTATATGTACCTGTTTCTGTTGTCAGATGACATAAGAACTATAAAATAGTCACTGAAACCCAGCTTATTAAGACTACATGTCAACCAGCAGTCACCTCCATGCTGCTGCTCTGCACTTTTAAAATCCTGATTTAATAACTGAGACAGCATCTGACAGACTCACCTAACACACAAGTTAAAGACGACGGCTGTGCAGTAAATCCGACTTTATTTATATACAATTCAAAGCTACTATCAAAATCAGAAAAAACTCCCAATAAGGTTTGTTTAATTTGTTTAATATACAGACTGAATTGTTAAATATCATCATCTGTGATGGTGCTCTGTTATACCTGCAACTTACAAACCTGCTGTTTATGTGATTTCTATTTTGTGCACAATCCAGTCCATGTTTCTGGTTGGTATAGTTATGCCAGTGTTTCCTGACAACATCCAGTCTGAAATACTGCTTATCATCCAGTCAAATGTTTAAATCATGATTGAAAAGGGCCACCCATAAATTGAGAGTCGTTTAACAGGTAACAATTTCCTGATAGTGACCATACCTGCAGAAATGTTCCATTAATTAATACAGAAGATACTGAGTAAATGTTGTTCCTTCACATTAGAGTTTCTTGGGTTTTCCAGTCATCTGACTCTGTGCAATTAAGTTAGTGTTGGCAGGATATGAAACATACTAATTAAAATGCTTGACACTAAAGGTTGTTACGCCAGTTATAATTTGAGATAGAAAATGGTAATTGCCTCCTCTTGGTTGCAGATTAAGGTTAATTGCAACATCTATAGGCTAATTGTATTTGATTTCTTGTCTTTGCTATTTTGTGTGCATGCGTGCGTGTCCACATCAAAAATGGCATGCGTTTCATGTGCTGAATCTCTTGCGCGTCTCTCTCAGTGTTTGCTGGTCCTGGAGCGGCTGTGTGTGTGGGTCTCCGGTGGGGAAGAACTGTGTGTGTGGAACAAAGACTTTCAGCTGCAGTGTCACAGACAGAACCACAGCGACACTGGTGAGACAGAATCATCAAAAAACACTGTCAGTTGTTGCATCAACTGTGCTCACCCCTGATGCTGTTGTTTGCAAATAAACTGATTAATGTTATGATGTGTTGTATTTTGCAGGAATAACTGCTTTGATAGAGCTGCCAAAGAACTGCATAGCAGCTGCTATGGATAAAGAGATAGGTAGGAGAAAGACTTTGGTTTTATCAGAAGACAAAATATAATTTAGAGCAAACTGCATTGCTGAACCGAAAATATTCAGATCTAAGCTTAATATCATGACATCAAAATCCCTTTATTCTACATGCCCCCCTTAAAAGATGCCAAAATAAACCAATTACATGCAGCAGATAATGTCAAAAACTACAAATTCTGCACTCCTCAGTGCAACTGGGAAGCGATTAGTGACTCTGCTGTGACCAACAGTGATAAAAGTTAAGGGACTTTATAAAAAATAAATAATTTGGTATGTAGGGTCAACCGTTTTTCAGTATTGATAAGTACTGTGGGCTCTTGGAAAAATGTCTGACATGTTCATTGAGATTTGGTTTTTGCATTTTTGGAAAATAATCAAATTCATTTAAGATTTATAGGATATTAACTGTGTTACATTACATAGGAGCCATTTTTGAGTTCTCACACTGAGTAAAAATGTTAGAGGGGCAAAACACACCCAGACACTGCTTGGAGTTCAGAGGAATAAAAGAATGCTTATTTCTTCCTCTTGTCAGTGATCTACAGGCTGACCGTCTGTGATTCTTCCGTGTCAGTGGCTGAGATCCGCCGTTTGTCCGACCACCAGGACCAGATTCGAGCTCTTATTAACATCAATGGTCTGTTTGAATAAACTCTGAAGCATTAAAAGGGACTAGTGTTCCATTTTTGACATACCAAGACAGTATCCTGGTTCATGTGTTCTGCTTTCTGGTTCCTCAGACAGGCTCTTTGCCAGCGGTTCCCATGCGGGCGAGTTAGTCTTGTGGGATGCGATTGAGTGGAACATCCTGGCCTACCAACACATCCTGTGGGAGGAGTCACAAGCCAGTACCCAGACTGAAATACGAATGGGTGCCCCCAAACCCAGCGAGATGTCCATTCAGCATCTGACCACCAACGGAAAGGTGAGGACAGAATAAGACAGAATGGGTGGATGTAGCTATTGTTGTTTTATTGTGATACATACACAAAACTCTATGTTTGTGTGTTTGCAGCTCATCCTTGCAGCTGTGGGCAGCGGTCTCTATGTGTACAATGTTGAGACCAAAGCAGTGGTGACCTACAGGAAGGTTGCACATGACTCTAATGTGTTACACACTATGCTGCTGTCTGACAGGTAGGATTTTTGGCCTTTAAAAAAAAAAAAGAAGAAATCTTGTTTCTTGACTTTTTAAAGAGGGTCAGAAGGTTGGATTGGTTTGTTTCCCAGCGTGCCTCCTGTCTGCTCTGTGTAAACATGGCCTGCAGTTCACCCAGAAAGTCCTTGAATTGTTGTCTCATGACTGTTGATAGCTGCTCAGTTTCTCAGAGAGAATCTGGTTTATTTTTGGAGAATTTTTAAA